ACAAAAAATATAGGTAATGAATTATAAATATTAAGTTGTTAAACAAAACATTGCAAAACAATCTGAATTAAATTTTATTTTTCTCGAACTATGGACTTTTACTTTTGGGGTTTTATAAAACAAACATTTTATAAAAACAGACCAAGGAATATGAATGACCTAATCAATTGCATAAGACAAGCTTATGCAGAGATTACTCCACAACAGCTATGTAAATTATTTTTACATTTAAGAGGTGGATTGGAAAAATGTGTTCTACTAGAAGGAGGTTTGGTGGACAAAACTAAAACTTAATTCAGATTAACGTTTTGCAATTTATTTGTAATTACTTAGTATTTATAATTCATTAAATTTTTTGTAAGTTATTATTTTTATAATTAATAAATAATAATTAATTAATATAATTAAAAGTTTTAAATTTATAGTGCCTGTATTTTTTCTTTGTCCGATTGGTACCTGTTTTCACTTTCATGGCAATCTTTGACCTGCTTATTATAATTTTTAGTTGTCTGATTTTTCGAAGTTTGGCATCACATACAAAAGCACTCCATAGACATTTATCATTCAAATTTGATTTATGGGTATTTTGATGGGTGCTGAATAACCTGGTAATATTTTTGATAAAAAAATGCCTAATACTCCTTTCTGGAAAACCGATCCTTTTAAAAAGTAGTAGTAGGCCAGGCTTTTGTCACATAAATAAAATTAGTAGAATATAACCTCCCTTCAGGGTACTATTTGTAAAGAAATGGCCTGCGGAAAAGCCACAGCCTTCTCACATGAGAACAGAGGTGTTAACCTGAAAAACGGGACACACTGTATATTGAAATCTTAAAGAAGAATATAGTATATTTATATAATATGTAAGACTTAATTCTCAACAAAACTGAATATGCAAAAGACTTAAGAGTAACATTTGACACAAAACTTTCACTGAAATATCATCTTGAGAACATAACGTCATCTGCTTACTTACTTATTAAACTTTAGGTTTTGTAATTAGAGAATTAAAGAACTTCCGTAACTTGAATTCAGTTATTAAACTTTATTACGCTTTAATAACGCTTAAGCTTATGTATGGTTCGATGCTTTGTAGAGAAAAACGAAATAATTATTTAAATATATTTGTACATCATGAAAAATAATCGATAATCGTTTTGTTCGTAGCAGCGCTGATCTACCTTAGAATTTGGAATGAATACATTGTATAACACATATTATAAAATCATTTGCTAATAATAATTTAAAATCTGGTGTATGACAATTTGTTAGCTTTGTTTCAGTTAGGTATTCTTTAGAGAAATACCCGAAACCAAGAAAAATTCATATATCTACTCGTATAAGTACACATTATGTATGTGTGATTGTATGTTTCGCCTGATAAACCGGGTTTTGGCTGAATTATGATATTCATAATGATATTATGAACAGTTTCTGAATTAATTGATTGGTGACACTAATATCCCTATTGTTTAGTCATCTCTTATAATTACCGTCGAGTAATCGGGCAACATACCTCTTTGGTAAATAAATAAATACTCAATTATCTGTTGTTGCAGAAATAAAAAGACATGCTCACTAGTATCCTTTACGATAATTAAGTGAAAGTTTTTAAATTTTGCTTCTTCCTGCAGACTTTCTTACTGCTTCTTCAAAAAAATTGAAATTCACAGAAAAAATCTACTCTTCTTGACATATTTTAATACTACGGTAATGCCAAAAAATTATTTTCCAAATTGTAAACCATTTGAACTGATGACAAGTCATGAATAAAAGGAGTACTTTGAAATTATATTAATATTCATCGGAGATGAAGATAACAATATTGTATAAAATAAGTTAAATATAAATTCAGAAAAAGAGCTGACATCAATATCAATATTCTATATAAGAAACTCTTAATCCCATTTCCTTAAAAACTTAGTGCTTAAAAATATTTTTTTTGTCAAATAATGTGATTTGATATTAACCTTAATCAACCCATTTCAGATGCGAATGGGACATATTTCTGCAAACCATTATTTTTTATTTTTTATTTTTTATTTCTGAAAATTTTATAGAAAGTTGTCATACAAAAATCTGACGAAAATTCAAATTCCACGTGTCTGAAGAAATGTTACGAAACTTTATTTTTACACACTGCTTCATTCTACGTTTACTACCACTACTACTGTTTACATTGACCCAGATTGTTAACAAAGGGAAGGGGTTAATCCACCGCGTAAAATAACCCCGTCTAAATAGGGTTACCGTCTTAAGTACCAACTCGGCCCATTCTTTCGTGTTTACGATATCCCAGCCTCGGCCTGGACCAAAGCTAACACCACGTCGAAGAAGCCCAGAGGGACCTTATATCTAAAGAGAATATGAAATGAGTGAGGTGGGCATCGGTATTCGTTTGACGTGCTCTAGGAAAAGGTCCTGCATGTAAACCCCTCTGGCTAGTACGGGTGTTGTAATAAGATTAGGGAATACGGAATATACCTGGAATGTATACTTATGTTATGATTGCGCCGGAAAAATACGATAAAATAGATGAGAAAAGGATTTCTTTGGTTTGTCTGTCCAAGATGCATTTTCACAATAAATTCGAATATTAGCCAAACGAGTAGTGGTTCGAGAGTTAGAAAGTTATCGTACACATTAATCTTATTTTCCAGAACAGAAAACAATTTGGTAGATATGGCGTACAATGCTCATTTTGTGTATAACAGCGGTTCAAAAATATTGAAAGTCCATATTGTAGGATTAAGACCCAAGATTTAAATACCTTTTACAGTAACATTTATACCTATGTTAATAGTGTTTTTCAATGGAAAGTGACCTATGGATCTTGGGGATTGAGGACAAAATATAAATTTTTCGTAATTACTTGTGTTTCGATTCCACACCATCTTTTTTAAAAGTAACTTATTATCAGTGGTTTTTTCAGAAAAATGAAAAAAGCAGAATATAGGGGAAATAAAAACCAATTCTTATACCATTTTCTGGTGCTATTTTGTTGGTTTAGGCCTCTAGACGTTTCCAAAGACATTTTCTTCCTCCCTTCGAACGAAATCCTAAAACAGTAGGTTAAGTCCTTTGATCAGTTTTATATTTATTTGAGTTTATTGTATACAGGGTGTTCCTTAATGTTATGCGAATATTTAAGGGTGTGATTCTACATGGAAAATGAACGATAGTTTGCTTTATAAACTGTGGTCCAAAAATGTTCCGTTGCGAAAATACGGAGTGTTCAAATTTTAGGAAAAAGGATGGAATTAATTAATATTTTCGTAGCCGCATGAGATATTTCAATGATATTTAGTACGTAGTGATAGTACAGTGATAAAGTGATAGTGATAAAGGCGCATGTTTTTCAATACAAATATAATTTTAGCTCTAACAGTAGCGTGTGTACAAACACTGATTTTGATATTTCTAAAGAAAAAAGTGGCATGTCAGTGGTTGTTTTCTCAAATAAAATTATTTTTTAAATCCCCGTTCAATTCGAAAGATAAGAGCTCTCTTGAGTTTTTTAAATATTTACATATCATTAAGGAACACCCTATACAATTTGGAGTCATTGTGGATGTACCATCCTTGATTTTTCCTCCAATTTTCATATTGATCGCAAAATTGCAATCTTTTTCGATTCCTATTGCTTTCTTGGATTTGGTAATACTTATATTTCTATCGCTTGAACGTCTTCCTGTACATTGTTCTTTTTAGGCTATTGAATACAGGTGTGCCATTTAACACTCCCGCTGCCAATATCTCCGAAATGAAGAAATGTATTTTAGTTCTGGATACTGGGGTTGGTAGGTCCCTCCAATAGCTTCAAATACTAAAAAATTTATTGATCCCTGGAACGTGGAAATGCAGTCCGTTTGAAAGATCGTTAAATTTTGGGTAATTTTTGTAGTAAGTTTTTCACAATATTTACTTGTTTTCGAGACATGTCGACTTCAATATGCAATATATGATGTAACAGGAAAATCCATTGTTTTATTTAAATTACACTGAGACAAAATATTCTTTTAAAATATTGTTATAATGGCTTTATTCATACCACATACTAACTAACAACAATAAATTATAAAAAAAATCAATGATTAACTACAGAAAAAAAATTGCACAATGGTAAATCTTATAAGGGGCAGAGACGAGCCGAATTTTATCAAATAGTATTAAAAACTTCAGTCATTCAGTCAGGTGTCTCATGTCATTTGTTTAAAATAAAACATGTATGACCCACTACAACGAAGTGGGAGGGGTACTAATTTTAGCACTAATGTATTCCTTCTATAGGATGATTAAGTTTTGATTATAGAAATTTTTTTCATACAGTGCTTATTTCTCGAAATATTTGAAAATTTCAGGGTAAAAAAATCATACGGTATAGTGTGATTCACAACTTACCCAGAAAAGCTTTTGATGGAAAGATACTATGAGGGCGGGTCAATAAGTCCGTGACTTTTTGAATGAAACACAGGTTTTTATATAAAAAGTTATTTTATTTTTCAACATAGTCTCCTTTGAGTTCTATACACTTAGTCCAACGTTTCCCTAATTTTTTTATCCCTTCCGAAAAATATGATTTGTCGAGGTCATCAAAATAGGCATTTGTTTGTGGGATGATTTCGTCAAATCTCTTTCCGCCGAACCATTTCTTCAAGTTTGGGAATAAGAAATAGTCACTCGGGGCTAAATCTGGAGAATAGGGCGGATAAGGGAGCAATTCGTAGCCCAATTCATGGATTTTTGCCATGGAAACTGCACATGTGTGCACCCTTGCATTGTCCTGATGGAAAAGAACTTTTTTCTTGGCCAAATACGGTCGTTTTTTTTTCAATTCCTCATTGAATCGACCCAAGAATTTGGTATAATATTCACCAGTGATTGTTTTGAAGGTAGTCAATGTGGATTATACCGCGTGCATCCCAAAAAACGGTCGCCATGACTTTATTGGCTGACAAACCCACCTTTGCCTTCTTTGGCGCCGATTCACCCCGAAAAACCTACTGTTTTGACTGCTGTTTGGTCTCCGGTGTGTTGTGGTGGATCCACGTTTCGTCCACGGTTATGAAACGGCGCAAAAACTCGTCCATATTGCAGTTGAACGCCAAACATTCCTGCGAAATTGTCACACGGTTGCGTTTGTGGTCGATTGTGAGCAAATGCGGCACCCATCTTGCGGAAAGCTTTCTCATATCCAAGTGATCATTCAAAATTGAAACCACTGAGCCATGTGAGATGCCTATGGCTTCCACAGTCTCTCTCACTTTCAATCTTCGATCGGCTAAAACCATATCGTGAATTTTTTCAATTGTTTCGGATGTATAGACCTCAACTGGGCGTCCAGAACGTTCGGCATCTTCCGTGCTTGTACGGCCACATCGAAATTCAGTAAACCACTTCTTTACCATGGAAATGGATGGTGAAGAGTCCCCATAATATTTATCAAGCTTAGCCTTGGTTTGAGTTATGGTTTTTTTTCCGCAAAAAATAATGCTTAATGAGCACACGAAATTCACTTTTTTCCATTTTCTTCTCAAAACGCGCGGTAGTCTGCTATCAACGGCTGCCAAACACAAACTAAATGACGCAGCTTGTTCAAATTTAGGCAGGAGTCAACTGACAGTTGCCTGTTGACAGGAGCAATGTTGCCATTTCAATTAAGAGGCGGGAAATTAAAAAAGTCACGGACTTATTGACCCGCCCTCGTATAAAAAATAGAATTTATAACATAATGTTGTAATAAAATAGTTACAGATTTGATTTAAAAAATTGTTGTATTTAAAAATACTACGTAGCTAGGCGACTTTAAGGATTCCTCCTCGGTTTCTTCTTTTTAAAAATGAAAGCGCTGTAATCTACTTAACCAAATATAAAGGAAAAATAAATGTCAGTCCTTTTTGGTCATGCTTTAACAATGCCGCCAAGACTTATTTAAAAAATGTTGGAATTCCAGTATAAATTGTTTCTTTAAATTTTCAATACTTTTCTAATTTAATACAGGAAATATTCAATAGGAAATACGAAACAAACTCGTACAATCCTAGCAGTTTTCTTTTAACTCAGTAGCTTGTTTGTACTACAATTGATTGCACTGTTGTATTAGAATTTAACGACGGTTCGTTAGCACTTTGTAGGTCTTATTGGCCTTTAAGAATAACTTTTGCAGATATAATCAGATCCAACATTGAGTTTATAAATGAAGAAGCTGGGAAAACTTATTTCTCCTCTCTAATTATAAAGATTTACTTTTAAAAGTTAATATTTTCCTTTTGAGTAAATCTAACTTAGCAGTGATTTTAAAAATAAACTGAACTGCTGCTATGCGGATGGCATGGAAAATGTGCAATATCGACATTCTATTCCCTTGTCGATTTTCACATGGAGAATGATTGCAGTCGACTGTGAAATTTTCTCTGTTTAATTATGGTCGGATAGTTCATTATGAAAATAACATCTATTATTCAGATAATTTCGAATGTGCATTATGCATGTATCAGTGGTAGACCAGAATAACGTGGTAGTTTATGTCATAATTATGGAAAATTATGTATTAATTATTTCCACTAAACTTGCCACACCTTTACTTAGTTACAGTGCTGTCAATGAAGTCGGAAAGACCAGAAATATACCCGCTATTACCAACCAAAAGATTTTTTGTATAAGGTATTAAAATTTAAAATCAGGAATATAATAATTTTTGATAAATAAAGAATGGATCAGGGCAAGAACTGATGAATGACGCCATTGATATTATAAATCGAAAAGCGTCACCGCATAAACGTTTAACTAAGAATATGTGGGTTTATAATTCTACAGGCACAATTTGTAGTGCGGATACTTGTAAAAGTAACGTAAAGTGGGGAAAAGGAAACAGCTAATCCATTACCACAGGTTTTCAAAAAATCCTCAGTTAAGAAAGTACTATCGAAAATACATATGTTTTAAATCCTGCTAACAGAAAAATTCCGAGTAAGCATTCTTATAAAAAGATTTGGAGGATATATGTTGTGCAAGTATAATGAAGCTACAACGCAACGTATTAAAATGAGGAGGAATAGATTTTTGTCATGTTTTATAGAGAGTGTTTCTTAAGTAGAAGTAAAAAATAAGGGTTTTTTGTTACATAAATGAGGGGTCTTAGGACAGCCATTGTCCAGCTACAACGTGTCCAAAATTAAAAAAAAAATCAGTTTTAATTTTGAATTTGTAAACTGCTTTATATAATTTTAACCATAATCGGTGTGCTTATTTAGTATGACAGTTGGTTTGTAACAAAAAATGACCATTTACCATCGATCATTATTTGCCAACAAAATATATCACCCTATAATATTACAAAAAAATACATCATATGCGCCATTGTATTATCTTCACTCTTTGTTTCTTTACACTTTTTTGTGTTCCAAACCGATTAACAACAAAATGAATTTATTTCATCAAGTGCACAAAATACATTGAAACTTTTAAATGCAAATAACTCAGAAACCGATAGTTAGGCGATCTAAACAAGAGTACATTTTTTATGTCGAATTAAACGTTCTTTTGGATTTTTAACTTTTTTTAAGCATTGCTTAGATTCGTAATTCTAACACCAAAAGAACCCAACACTACCAATTTTCAGTCATGCTAACAAAACTTTCTCAATTATTGAGAAATTTCAGAATAAAATTTAAACTTTGAACACTCTCTATTTCTTAAACCAGCGTCATTCGTATAAGGCATGATGAACTCAAACATAATATTTTGGTGTCTAGTATCTCCAGCTTAGTGTTGACTATTCTTTCTGACTCACCCTGTATAATCACTTAATCGTAGGTTGCGGAATGGATTGTGTTCTTGTAGTACTTTTTTACATCTTATAAGCAGTAAAAATGTTAGAATATCTACACAGAAATTACTGAAAATCAAATTAATGTACCGATGACGTATTCCCGCCTCGGAAATGCTACAATACCATTGGGCGATTCAAGGTCAAGCCTGTAGGAAACAAACTTCTTTAGAGATATTGGGGTCAGGGAAAGCGTAACTCGACATTTACATAGCATTTTCTGACTCGCAATCAGTTTGGGGTGAAATGGGGTTATAACAGGTTTTGTGGTTACTTTGAAGTTTAGGGAACAAATTTCAAACGTAGGGGTATATAATGTGGGTATTCAATTAGCATTAGTAGTTGAATTTAATAATCGCACCACGCCATATAGCACAAACAATGAGCATTCGTAGTTGTAGTAAACCCACTTTTGTGTTCTATGCATGTGCAGTTGCATATATTTAGTGACAGAAGCGAGAAGTGCCGATTTTCGGGAAAGCAAGAAATGTTAATCATTGTGATCGTTCCTAAAATGTTCGTTACACTGAGAAAAATCGTCAAAAAAAAACTGTTGCTAAAAAATTATTACGGTAAATATTTTGTAACTGTCATAGGTATCTAATTAATTATATATGTATATTCTCTGACAAGCTGAAATTAAAGCCAGAACATAGGAAATACTGGGCTTCAAGGCCAGGGCAAAGCCATGCGGAGGAACTCTTGGAATGTCCTTTGCAGAAAAGAACGAATGACTTGCCGAGCTTGAATAACATTCGGCTCAGGAAAGTGAGGGCACTTATAACGGGATACTGTCACTTTAGGAAACATCTATACAAGCTAAAACTTATAGACAGTCCGGTTTGCGGAGGATGTGACTCGGCGGATTGAACCTCTCTGGATGTCCTGGGTGTAGTAGGATGACGGTTCTGGGCAAAACCTGTTTGGAACCCAAGAAACTGAGAGAAGTGTCGGCAAGGAAGCTTTTGGATTCTGCAAAAAGGGCAAAACTACACTGTAAAAAAATCGGTGTGAGTGAAAGCAATAATGGTTCGGAGTGAATTCATTGAGTGAAATTATTGGGTAAATTTTCACTCAATATTGGGCATTTTGATCATTTTACTCATTTGTGATTATATTTAAACTAAAACTGAGTACTTTCACTCAAATCTAGATACTCCTTAAATTAATTCTTCACGTAAACTCGTATTTAGTGCACTTGTATCTAAATCAGAGTAAATGTCCTCATTACTGAGTGAGTTTAAATGTATATTAATTTCGAGTAATTTGAATGCCGCCGTGAAGATGGCACCACTTACATCTTGGTTCTGTAGTCTCGGCCATAGTTGATAGGATGCCGTTAGGTGATCCAAAAAAGCGTAATCGCCAAGAGAAGAGACCTTGTCCGGCGGCGGCGCGGCGTATCTCAGCTGGCGGGTCTGAGCCAGGACAGGAGGAGGCCCCGTGAAGTGAATTAATTTCAACACTAATTAATCATTTATGGGTGATTTATTTTTGCACTCAATATTTAGTTAATTAAAAACCAAGTCTTACAATTAGTAAAAAATGATTCAATAATAGTTACATTTAAATCATATTAGAGTCAACTCGCTCAACTGATAGTTAGTGAGTAAAGCTCACTCATTTCTGCTGCAATAGTTAATGTAATGCAACTAATACATTATTGAGTAAAATTCAGTGAAATTTGAGTGAATTTTTTTTACAGTGTACTTACTGAATAGAATTGAGTAATGTGACTCACAATAGGCCTGGTAAGACCATGGTGCTATGGGACTTGATTAGATCCAACCACTAGTTAAAGAAGAAGAAGAGGAAGAAAATAAGATTTCTACACAAGTATAATTCTGGTAAATGAGTACATGAGTGATAGGGTTTTATTGAATTTCAAAATTCACTAAAGTCATTATATTACTTGTTACTATTATGCTGCTAATTGTGGTTGGTAAATAATATTCTTAAAATATATTACTGTCACAACTAAACGTACGTAATGGTACCACAAGTGGCGTACATCCAAAAATAATTTTATGTCGACGTCATAAATCATTGTGCTGGTGTGGTGTAGACTTTGTGAAGTTTTTTGTGTGTTGTTTTGATTATTATGATATACTACAGGCGACTTCGTTACTAAGACATAATTATTTTGTCCCTCCTTGTTGCATCGTCTGGTTTTGGTTGGTTGGTAAAATAATTACAATCTAGTTAGCCTACAAAAATTCATGGATTTGGTATTACATTATGTTTCGTTTATCCAGGATCTCATTACTAAGCAGCATCGGCGACCAGACAAACTTGTCAAGTTGGTGGTGACGCCCAGTGACGTTACATGTGACGTTACATTGCTAATATTTGTATTCGATCTTGTTAATGTTTTTATGTTGTGCAAATAAAGTCTCGTAAGATTACATATATTTCCTATCTTCGAAAACCCCGTCAACTTACTCTTCTTTACAGTGTAACAAAAGCCGGGACGCGCAGTCATTTATTTATTAGTTCCCAGAACGGACGGGCAAAAAGTAAAATACTCTTGTCAACACAAATTATCGAAAGTTGAGGGCTTTCAAGTAGTAGGTCGACAAG